GGCGAAGGAAAATTGAAGAATCATATGCTGAAATTTTATTTCGCCTTTTGTTGTTTTAAGAGCTTTGTGAGTTTAGTGAGAGATTTCATAAGTGATATAATCTTTTTCATCCTCATTTTCTGCACCGTTAGCGGTTTTTTCACCACGGGAGCAACTGAAGTGAATTTCTCGATGAGGTGTGTTATAATTTAATCGCTCATTGTTGCCAGAGTGATTCGTTTTATTGTTATTCCTTTTATTGGATCATAATGAAGTAAACTGGTATTCATTTGATGTGTGTTTATTTTTGCTTTCGGTACGTACCGATCTGAGTACATCATATATCTCTGATGCATATGTTACCTTGGTAATTGGTGTAGTTCTGATAAGTTCTAGTTGAAATTCTTGTAAAATATTGGAAATATTCCCAACGATAATTTTTTTAAATGATCGAATTACATTTTGCATTTTGAGCCATGAACGATGCAGAAGTTTTAGCTAGAAATTGTGAGCAAGTTTATGATATGTTAATAAATCTTATCAAAACAACGTCGGCACATCGTTGGCAGTGAAGTGGTGTTTGATGAAATGGAGTGATTGATTTGTTTGAGGTACAGCGGACAATCGGTTGATTTGGTGTTAATCAAGCGATCGGTTGTTGAGGTGTGAATGTATGTTGTGCGCTTGCTAGTGAATGGAATCTCGACAAGCAATGCAACGTGGCGGTAATATTGTGAAACAAGCACCATTACCTGACTCTCGTCCACAGGTTTCTTGATTGCTTCGTTTATCCGATTTTCTTCGATTGAAGTGTTTCTTTCTGTTTATGAATACAACTATAGACCACTGGTGTTTATTTTCAAGCATATTTCGGAGCTTAAAAAATGACGATTCATTGGTTTCCACGACATCTTTGTACTGCAATTTCTCTCTTCGAAATTTGAAATTTGCGTGGACTGTTCATGCGTTAAGCTAAAAATCTTGCGGAATTTTATTAGAAAATGTGTTCTGATTTTCGATTATCAGTGAAATATTTGAACGTTAATTCCTCGTGGCGATTCACTCAGCATCTGATAGGTTTCAGAAATGAATTTCTGATTGTGTTCAGCGTTTCTTGTTAAGTTCGTCAAGCAATATTTTTGGTCGATCTGTTCATATGGAGTACAAGTACTAACTGTGAGGCATTGCTCCGCTTTCAGTTACGCGATGCAATGCTAGGCTTGTTTTTGCTTATTGCCAATAGAACATGATGTGGTGATTCGCAAGGAATTAGTCTGACGGTGATGTGAATGTAATCATTAGATCATGAATTGCTTGTAAACCAAGTATATTTGCATATTTATCTAACTGAAATTGCAGCAAAGAATCGTGAGCGCTGCGAATTGTGTATTCGTAGAAAACAATTCGCAAGTTTCTGTCTTTCCCGGTTTTTGGAAGAACGACTCACGTTTCTTCAAACTAGCTGCTGCAAGGTCACCTCAGGTAGTTGATTCATCGCGACTCATTTTATTACTATCTGTAACTGAGTGGAACTGTGTGAATTTCTCGCTTTGATTTTGTTGTCGTTATTCCAATTCCTTTGATAAGTTGATTTTATGACCCTTTCATAGACTCTGTTTAGTGTCAATTCGTCTAGTTGTTGCTGTTATTACCAAAACTTATCGTTTCCATCGGTCGCCTTCTCTCCTTCGTTGATCTGCTTTTTATGCAGCTAATGGTGTAATTTAGAGTTTTGAAGCTGGTCGCTTTCAGAGTACACATAAAATTTTGTTCCCTCAACTTCTACAGTGAGTTGAATCGGTGTTGACTAAAATTTTTTGTGTTCGCTCGCGGTGCTGACATGCCGATTGTTTCAGATGACCGTTCATGAATTCTTAACCGAAAATTCAATGCCTTCGACATCTCGACGTGCTTTTATCACTACAGCACCTTCTGAAACAAGTGATGTCATTGAGAGGTTCATCATTTCTGCATCATTATCATTGCATTGCCTCACGAAATTGAAGTGACGACGTCAATACCAGTAATTAAGGATATCTTGTTCCATAAGATTAATCATTGAATGTTTTCTTTAGTTTTTATCAGGAGAGGTTTTTCCCTTTCATACTGTAAGCTCCTTAGATGATGTTATTTCTAAAGTTTTCCTGTGCCTTACAAGTACGGTTATCAAGAAGTCATTCCAAAAAAAATGTTGTGAGAATAACTCATGATTTCTGATCAGTGAATAATTTAGTCAGACAGTTAATTACTCAGTTAATCATTTAGTTAAGTCAGTTAATTGATAATTTCAGCGCAGTAGATTCCTCATCCTCATCCACCACATATACCCATGAAATAACGAGTCCGAGCCAAGCGCAACGCAGACAAGGAATTCGTGAGCGTCAGGTTGGTTCGATCCGTCAATATTTGAAGTATTAATTTGAAACGCGTTTCAACATTATGGACTTTATCTATTATTGTATGCACGATGTTTGATATATTCACATATGATGTATGTAAGGTTTTTTGTCTTAAAGATAGTCTGTTGTATTGTGCTAGGGAGTTTTTTATTTGCTTATTCGATTAGCACTGCAATGGTAATATTAATGGTGGTATTGTTATTCATCATTAATATCGTTATGATGATGTTCACTGCTGATATCGTTTTGGGTAATCGCTGCCCGTCGACGAAGGGAGCAAATGACTCCGGAAGAGTTGAAAAAGTTGAAAGCGAAATGGGCCGAGGCAGCAAGACGAAGACGTGCGAATATGAGTGAAGAGAAGAAACAACTGCAAAAACTGAAATGGGCTGAAGCTGCCCGAAGAAGGTGAGTCGGTTGTTCATTTTCTTTTTTGTTCAGTATATTTTGTGAATATTTATTCATTTGCAGTGATGAGGTGATATGTTGTTGAATATTTATTCACATGATGTTTTATTGTCACGTTCGCATAGAATGAATGTGTCCTAGAAATATGTGCATTAGATAGGTACGATATAGAAGTGCGAGTTGAGTGTGCTGTTGAGCTGATTCTGAATAAGGCGTTGCCTAATAAATGTGTTTAGCACGTGAGCGTTCACATACCGTTTTCTTTTTTACTCACAATCAATCATGAACTCTATTTTATTTTGTTTTGTTGTTCTGTCACTAAAAGATACTGCCAATTTTCTCGAACTTCTCTTCCACTACTAAAATCTAGCTGCTAGAAAGTTCTGCTAACGTTTAACTCTTTCCAAAGGACGTAACATCATTTGAATGTCACCATACAAGATCGATGTAGAGAATAATATCATTTATGATATCGTAATGACGGCTCGGTAAGATAGATTGCTGTAAAACGAAGCAGTTGGTATATGAAATCGACTCCAGATACCACAATATGAGCGAAGAGGAGAGGAAGCAGCTGGGCGCACGTCAGACGGAACGAAAACGTCTCAAGAGACAAATGCTGGCCGAAGCAGCAAAAGCGGCCGCATTGGCGCAGACAATCGAGAAGCCGTCTCGTGATGACTTGAATGGTGATTGCTCCTACTAATGCATGATATCTTAATTTACCGCTAAAAAGTTACTATCGTGGCTCGGTATGTATAAAAATGAGTGTTTACTGCGTATGTTATGTGAAGTGGTAACAGTTTAACTGTGGAATGCTTAATGCAATGGCAGTATCAACTGAACAAGAAAGCGCTCAGTGAAACAAGCGTTTCTGATTTGATTAGTTAACGGACATT